GGAAAATGTACACTGGTGGAAGGATGGGTGTTGGAGTACTATATGGTTGAAATACAATGACAAACGGTTTTGTAAAGGTCTATCTCACAGTGATTCAATAAAAAAGTAAAAAAAAAAAAACCCAATAACCAAAAAAAAAAAAAAACCCCAACAACAGTATTTACAATTTTTTTTTTTAAAAAAAGATCCCTGGTAATTGGGATGTTCATGTAACGCATCTTCTATGAATTCACTTTTTTAATTATGTTGGTTGGGCTGGAGCAATAGCAAAACGGTAGGGCATTTGCCTTATGCGCAGCCAGCCCGGCGGAGCTGGTTCAATTCCTCCACCCCTCGTGGACAGCCCGGCAAGCTACTGAGAGTATCTCTCCTGCAAGGCAAAGCCTGGAAAGCTACTTCTTAACAAGAAGTCTTAACAAGAAGTCTCAAAATGGAGACGTTACTGGGCCCGCTCGAGCAAAATTGATGAACAACAGGAGGACAGTGACAGTGACAGTGAATTATGTTGGTTATTCAGGGGACTTTCTCATTCTGGAATCCTATGACCTGCACTTGTGGAAAGCTTTATATTTATGTTAGTGATGATCTCTCTTTCTGTTTTCTTTCTCTTATGGGACTTCTGTTACTTGGATACTAAATCTCTGGAACTAGTCCTTCAACTATTATTGCTTTTTCTTTCTAGGGCTGATTGTAGATGCTGAGCATATTAATAAGACTTAGGTGATTGGACCTGGGTTACTTTTTTTTTTTGTTGTTGTTAAATTTATTTATTGACTCACCGTGAGAAAAGTTACAAAGCTTTCAGTCATACAATGATCAAACACCCTTCCCTTCACCAGTAATTATTTTTCACCACCAAGAACCCCAATAACAACCCCCTCCCATCCCTCTCGATGCCTGTGAGGCAGATGATTTCTACTTAACTCTCTCTCTACTTTGATTACATTCATTATTTCGACAAAAGATGCACCATTATTGTTTGGAATTTCCCCCCAACAATCAGAATTGCTGAAAAGGCATTGTGAAATAATTTTTTTTCTATTGCTGGTTATGAAAACCATATGCTCTTGTGTGACTGCACGATTTTGGATTTCAGATATTTTACTAATTAAGTCTGGAGGGATTTCTGCCAAGAGCTGGATAATTATGAGATTGTTTTTTGTGCATCTGGTGCCATGGCCATGCCGGAGAGCCGCTTGTGAGGGGCAACTCGTGGCCTTGGTAGGGTGTGAAGGACGAGCCGGTTCCACCCCCCATCCCATGAGGCTGCAGTTACCCCTTCACCGCCGGCTCATACCTGGCTTTCCAATAAGCTCTGAGGCAGTGGCCGCCGTGCTTTCGTGGGGGTGGGAGTGGGGGAGAAGGTGGAAGAGACAGACAGACCTGGGTTACTTTTTATTGAACATTGATATTAGTATTTTTGTTCTTTGGGTTACATAGAAAAAAAGTCTTTGACTAACTGCTGGATGACCGGAGTCTGGCTACTAGTATTCTGTGAATGGAGTTGGGAGGGAGTCCTCTCAGCACGTGAGATGGTCTCCCTGATTTGGGTATTGTCTGTACTCTTAGCTTTCTTAAAATTCTCCCAGATTTATACTGTTATGAATGAGGGACAGTTGTCTGCTATGATGCCGTTGAGGAGTAACCAAGGAAGAATATCTGTTTCTCAAAGCCTTCTCTACCTATTCCTCCTTGTTTTAGAACCGTCTTATTCTTTATCCTCCTATATTTCTCTCTCAGTTCCAGAAATAGCAGGCACTGACAGGTTCTTTTGAAATGAAAGGATTCTGCAGATAAGTTGATTTTTTTTTTCTAGATTTTCCTCTGATGGCTTATATTTTTTGCTTTGTTTACTCTCCTAAGTCGTTTACTGTTCTGGTCTCCCACTTGTAAACTTTTGCTGACATTTTCATTCTTCACTTAAGTATGCTTATCTCTTTTAGAAAATCCTACTGTTATAGCTCTCCAAGCATATCTGAAGAAAACGAAATTAGTTGTGTATGTGTGTATGCATGTTTCTCTATGTGTTTATATAAACACATATGTATATACACACACTTAATTTTTTAAATTCCCTCCCCATCACCCTTCCCTTTTTCCACCCCCGTTGTTCTGATGACGGGGATTGTACACACCCTTGGATATGGTGCTTGCACATTTTTCAGCAGTGGTTCTTGCCAGGTTCATACATCAGGTTGTGCTTACACACCTGGCTCTGGTGCTCAAGTTTTGTATTCCTTTAGTTGCCATGCTTGCATACATGCTCACGGGGGGTTGCACTGCTTGTTGAGACCCAAAAGTTATGGTTGGGACTTTTGACAGGGTTAGCACATCACTTTGTAGTGCTCACCACATGCTTGCCATGGGTCGTACCTCATGGCCATGATGATTGTACATATTTTCAGTTGTGGTATATGCCTTGGATTGCATTCAATTTTTTTTTGGTGATTGCATGAATGCGTGCATGCACGCACGAGCACACACACACACAGCTGCAGTACAGTGAGAGATTGCTTATAGCACCAGGGACAGCATGTTCTGCCAGTATCATTTTTTGAATATGTGGGACACCAGGGATTTGAACTCATGACCATATACGTGTAAAGCAAGGTATATAATCTGAAAGCCACTGAATTATTTCTCCCTGTCACCCAGAGGTATATATTTAAAGTGATATCTTAACTCATATATTCCTTTTTATTTATTCTATAACACATTACTTGTTTTTTTTAAATTTTTATTAGTGAGACATCATGAGGTACAGTTGTAGACTTACAGATTTTTGTGCTTGGGTTTCAATTATACAATGATCAAACACCCATCCCTCTACCAGTGCCCATTTTCCACCACCACGGGTCCCAGTATCCCTCCCACCCCCCATCCCCCTTATCCCACCCTGCCTCTGTGGCAGGGCATCACATTACTTATTAAATGTTAAATTTGGAGAAGGATTAAGGTGTTCAGGGCTTAGGGCTAAGTGCTAAGGGTTTACTCTACACTGGGTGCTTCAGGGATTAATCCTAGCTCAGTGCTCAGGTGTAAAAAATCTTGGAGGGCGGCTAGGAGTAGGCCCCAACAGCTCTTCCCCTAGCCGCCTAGTTTGGAGTGGGCCCTGGGCCGCTCGCCCAGCTGGGGCAGCCCGGGACATGGGGCAGACAGTGGAGGAAATGAGGGCCAAGCCGGTTGGTTGATCCGATGCCGTTTATTCCATTCTCCCCACGCGCCTGCTCCAGTCTCTCTGAGCCTCCCATTCAAGTCTCTCACTGCCTCTCATTCCCTTCTTCTCCTATCTCTCCCACTCATCATTCTGCTCCATCTCGCAGCCTGGGCTCTCTTCTCTCCACGTACCTGCTCCTGAATTCTTCTACATTCTTCTATGTTTCCCTTGCTATTCTCTCTGCAGTCCATCTTGCCGCCCTGCTCTCTCTCTCATTCTCCAACTCTCTTGCGTCTCCCACTCCCCCCACCCCCAGCACTCTGGGCTGACACTGCACCCAGTCAGGTAGCAAAATCAACTTAAGAAAGCCCTTCCTAAGGGCCCACCCAGTTCAAAGGGAACACCACCTAAAAGGTATTCCAGAGCCCTTCCTGACTGCCCAAGGGCAAATACCTCCTTCTTAGGTTTTTCTCCTTTCCTCAGTCTAATAACTCTATCAACATCTCAATACTGGTTATTTTTTATATGGACACAGTAAGAGATAACATTGAGGCTTGTAGGGCAGCTCTCTTGGGAACATCTTGCCACAAACTCAGACTACAGCACTCAGGCCAGATTAATCATTCCTAACCCTAGCAGGGTCCAAATCTAGTTATTACTTTTTGGATCATGACAGCATTTGTCCATGACCAAGCTCTTATAGTTAAGCATTATGGCATTTTGGCCAGGCCCATCTCGATGCCAGGGTAGCACATAGCTTACCGCTTGCCCTGGTACCATCCAGTCCCTCATCGGTACCCTTCTTTTGGGGGCGCTGGGAAGAAAGGGCAGCTGAGGCTTAGGTGAGAGAACAGATGCCCAGGAGGAAAATATCACTGAGAGTCACATAACAAAAGCATAGCATATACTGTCATCTTGTGTCTACACAAAAAGGACATTGCTCTGAATAAACTATGCAGAGAACTTAGGGAAAAGAGAAAAACAATATTTACAAGTCAACAGAGCACAAAGAAGTTACAGATAAACACAGAGGAATGGGAGCAGTGTGATGGGAGCAACCCAATATACCTAAACTACCTGAGGCTATGCAGGAAGGACAAAACAGTGTTATCTTACACTCAGGGATCACTTCTGGTGGTGCAAAGAGTACCATGTGCCAGGGTTTGGGTTGTCCACATTCAAGAAAATTATTTACCCACTATATTATCTCTTAGTCCCTTGGATGCAGGTTGGCCATATGCAAGGAAAACACCTGACCGACTATACTACCTCTTTAGTCCCAATGTTAAATTTTTTTAACAAAGGAATTTATTCCTTAGTTATCTGGTCTGATTTGCCAGAAGTATTTATTTCTTATAAGCACTTCTGTTACTAATTTTTAAAAATTTTTTTATAATGTGCTTACTTCTTTTCCTTGTTTTCTTTCTTCTTTTTTGTTTGTTTTGGGATCACACTAGACTTTACTCCGGGCTCTTTGCTCAGGAATCACTTCTGGTGGGGCTCATGGGACCATATGTGGTGCCAGGGGTCTAATTCAGGTCAGCTGTGTGCAAGGCAAGTGCCATACCCATTATATTCTTTCCAGCCCCCAAATGTTTATTTCTTAAAGTTACAGTTTATGTTTATAAAATCTGTTAGTTTTATAATACTTAAGGGTTATCGGTACATAAGAAACATTAAATGTGGAAGATTACAAGACTATTTGTCTTAATCTTAGAACTATTTCACAGTCTAGTTTCTTTTCAACCTATGAACTAATAAGATTTAGCGAGGTTTAAATTTAGAATGTTGGAACATTATTACACAATGAAGACATGTTATTTTTGTTTTGTTTTCAATGAAGACTGAAGTTGCTGAAGATCCTGAACAAATTTCAACTGTGCATCTCCAGTTAGGATTACCATTGGTGTTTATTGTTAGTCAACAAGCTACAATTGAAGCTGATAGAAGAACTGCAGAATGGATTGCTTGGCGTCTTCTGGGAAAAGTAGGAGTTCTGCTATTGTTAAGGTATCTTAAACACTAGGTGTTCACTATTTAAAGAATTTAAGTCATTTAGCAAAGCAATAATATTTTTCTTATTTTAAAAGTTGATAATATATTAACTTTTTAATTAACTAAAATATTTAATAGTTCTAATATCACTGGAACTAATTACTGGGTTAGAGTCTGTACTTCAGTTAGTAATTTGATTAAAATTTAGCCCTTTAAACTTTGCTAATTGAAGCTGTCTATTTTATTGGTGACTAGAAATATGATCTGAATTTATATGCCCAAATTTTCAGACCCACCAAGTCGTAATTTTTTTGGGGGGGACACATCTGGTAATACTCTGGGGTTACACCTGGCTTTGCACTCAGTAATTATTCCTGGTGGTGCCATGGGATCATATGGGATACTGGGGATTGAACTCGGGTTGGCCACATGCACGACAGATGCCTACCTACTGTACTATTATAGTACAATACTATTGCTCGGGTTATAAAGATTTTTTTTATTAGTGAAACACCATGAGGTACAGTTGTAGACTTACAAATTTTCGTGCTTGGGTTTCAGTTATACAATGATCGAGTATCCATACCTCTACGAATGATCCCAGTAGTCCTCCCCCCCACCCCACCCCCATCCCGCCTCGGCAGGGCATTCCCTTTTGCTCACTTTTTCCTTTAGGGTGTTGTAGTTTGCAATAGAGGTACTGAGGGGCCATCATGTTTGGTTTATAGTCGACTTTCAGCACGCGTCTCACATCCCAAGCAAGTCCTCCAAACATCCTTTACTTGGGGTTCTCTTCTCTATCTGAGCTTGCTTTCCCCCCAGCATGTACTGCCAGCTTCCAGGCTGTGGAGCAGACCTCCTGGTACTTATTTCAACTATTCTTGGGTGTTCGACTCCCATTCTGTTACTTTATATTCCCCAGATGAGAGCAGTCTTTCTTTGTCTGTTCCTCTTTTTCTGGCTCATTTCACTTAGCGTGAGACTTTCCATGTAGAACCACTTGTATGTAAATTTCATGACTTCATCTTTTCTAACAGCTGCATAGTATTCCATTGTGTAGATGTACCAAAGTTTCTTTAACCAGTCATCTGTTCTCGGGTTTTTTTCCCCAAATTTTGGCCACTGTGAACAGTGCAGCAATGAACATAGAAGTATAGATGTCATTTTGACTGTACTTTTTTGCTTCTCCAGGATATATTCCCATGAGTGATATTGCTGGGTCAAATGGAAGCTCAATTTCAAATTTTTTGAGAATCGTCCATACTGTTTTCCAAAAGGGCTGAACCAGTCGGCATTCCCACCAGCAGTGAATGAGGGTCCCTTTCTCACCACATCCGCGCCAACACTGGTTGCTTTTATTCTTTTGGATGTGGGTGGATGTGGGCCAGTCTCTGTGGTATGATATGATATCTCATTGTTGTTTTGATCTGCATCTCCCTGAAGATTAGTGATGTAGAGCATTTTCTCACGTGACTTTTAGCCTTTTGGATTTCTTCTTTGAGAAAGTTTCTGTTCATTTCGTTACCCCATTTTTTGATGGGGTTGGATGTTTTCTTCTTGTGGAGTTCAACCAGTGCTTTGTATATCCTTGATATCAACTCCTTGTCGGATGGGTTTGGGCGAATATCCTTTCCCATTCTGTAGACTGTCTTTGTATTTTGGTCACTGTTTCTTTTGAGGTTCAGAGGCTTCTTAGTTTAAGATAATCTCATTTGTCTATCTCTTTATTCACTTGCTTGGCCAGTGGCATGTCATCTTTGATGATACCATTTGCTTCAATGTCATGAGGGTTTTGCCAACATTGTCTTCAATGTACCTTATGGATTCTGGTCTGATGTTGAAGTTTTTAATCCATTTCTTGCTCCCTTATCAAAGATTAGATGTTCATACATTTTGAGTTGTGTGTAGGGATATTCCACCCTGTTCCATTGGTCTGAGGCTCTTCCTTTGTTCCAGTACCATGCTGTTTTAATTATTACTGCTTTGTAGGAGAGTTTGAGGTTGGGGAGGTTGATGCTTCCCATTTTCTTTTTCCCAAGAATTGCTTTAACTATTCGTGGGTGCTTATTGTTCCATATGAATTTCAGGAGTGTTTGCTCTGTTTTTTTTGAAGAATGTCATGGGTATCATTTTAGGGATAACATTGAATTTGTACAATGCTTTGGGGAGTATTGCCATATTTTCCTGATCTATGAGCAGAGAATGTCTTTCCATTTCCTCATGTCCTCTTTTATTTCCTGAAATAGAGTTCTGTAGTTTTCTTTGTACAGGTCTTTTACATCCTCAGTTATGCTGATTCCTAGGTACTTGATTTTTCTGGGGCACAGTTGTGAATGGGATTGTTTCTTTTCATGTCACTTTCTTCTATCTCATTATTTGCATATAGGAAAGTCATGGACTTTTAGGTATTGATTTTATAGCCTGCAACTTTACTATACAAGTCTATTGTTTCTAGGAGTTTCTTGGCAGAGGCTTTAGGGTTCTGTAAGTATAGTATAATATCATCTGCAAATAGTGAGAGCTTGATTTTTTCCTTTCCTACCTGAATGCCCTTAATATCTTTTTCTTGCCTAACTGCTATTACAAGTACTTCAGTACTATATTGAACAGCAGTGGAGAGAGTGGGCATCCTTGTCTCATCCCTGATCTTATAGGGAAGGCTCTTAGTTTTTACCCATTGAGAATGATGCTTGCCATAGGCTTGTGGTAGATGGCTTTAGCTATATTGAGGAAAGTCCCCTCTGTCTCTATTTTGGCGAGGGTCTTCGTCATAAATGGGTGCTGGATCTTGTCAAATGCTTTCTCTGCATCTATCGATATGATCATATGGTTTTATCTTTTCTTTTGTTGATATGGTGGATTATGTTGACTGATTTCTGAATGTTAAACCATCCTTGCATCCCTGGGATGAATCCCACTTGGTCATGGTGTATGATCTTTTTGATGAGTTGTTGAATTCTATTTGCTAGTATTTTGTTGAGAATCTTCGCATCCGTGTTCATCAGGGATATCAACCTGTAGTTTTCTTTTCTTGTGGTGTCTTTGTTTCATTTTGGTATTAGAGAGATATGAGCTTCATAGAAATTGTTTGAAGAGTTTCTCATTCTTCTGTTTCCTGGAAAAGCTTGAGAAGAACTGGAAATAGGTCCTGTTTAAATATTTGGAAAAATTCACTAGTGAATCCATCTGGACCAGGGCTTTTGTTTTTGGGAAGACTTTTGATTACAGTTTCAATTTCTTTTATATTAATAGGACTATTCAGTTATTATAGATTTTCTTGATTCAGCCTTGGGAGATTATAGGAATTCAGGAATTTATCCATTTCTTCTAAGTTCTCTTGTTTTGTGGCATATAGACTTTCAAAGTAGTCTCTGATGATCTTTTGAATTTCTTTGGTTTCTGTTGTGATACCCCCCTTCTCATTTCTGATTCGTTTTATTAGGGTTCTCTGTCTCTCTTTCTTTGTGAGTCTTGCTAGTGGTTTATCTATCTTGTTTATTTTCTCGAAGAACCAGCTCTTGGTTTCTTTGATCTCTGGATTTTTTTTGGGGGGTTTCCATGTCATTGATTTCTGCTCTAAGCATTATGATCTCTTTCTGCATGGTTTGGGCTCCTTTTGTTGGTCCTTTTCTAAGATCTTGAGCTGTGAAGTCAAGTTGTTTATGTGGGCCCTTTATTCCTTCCTGAGAATGCTTAGAGCTATAAATTTTCTCCTTATTTGTTAAAGAGGCTTTCCTTGCTCGCTTCACATTTCTTTAGCTTTAGCTGTGTCCCATAGATTCTGGTAGCTCATGTCTTCATTCTCATTTGTTTCCAGGTATCTTTTGATTTCTTCCTTAATTTCTTTCCTGACCTACTCGTTGTTCAACATTGAGTTGTTTAATTTCCAGTTGTTTGATTTGGTTTTCTGCGTCTGTACATGATTAACTTCTATCTTCAGTGCATTGTGGTCTGAGAAGATAGTTGATACAATGTCTATCTTCCTGATTCTGTTGAGATATGCTTTGTGGCCCAGCACATGGTCTATTCTGGAAAATGTTCCATGTTCACTGGAAAAGAATGTGTATTCTTTTTTTTGGGGGGGGGTATAAAGTTCTGTATTATTACAGTAATATTATTACTATTAGCCCTCTGTCTTCTATTTTGTCCTTCAGAGTCATTATATCCTTGCTGAGTTTTAATGTTCTTGATCTATCCAGAGGTGATAAGGCAGTGTTGAAGTCTCCAATTGCTATTGTGTTGCTTGTAATGTCCTTCTTAAGGTCTGTTAGCAGTTGTTGTAGGTATTTGGCTGGTCCTTCATTGGGTGCGTATACGATTAGGAGTGTGATTTCTTCCTGCTTTACATATACCTTGATTAATAAAAAATTACTTTCACTGTCCCTTCTATTCTTTTTCTGAAGTCTATGTTGTCTGATAAATAGTAAGGCCACTCCAGCTTTTTTAAGAGGCTTGTTTGCTTGCAGGGATGTTTTCCATCCTTTGACTTTGAGTCTGTGTTTGTTGTAATTGTTCAGATGTGTTTCTTGTAGACAGCAGAATGTTGGGTTCTGTTTCTAAATCCATTTTGCCACTCTGTGTCTCTTAATTGGTGAATTTAGACTGCTGACATTGATAGAGATTATGGTTATGGGGTTTTGTGTCATCTTTGTTTAAGGGTTTGTTGTGCTTGTAGGGGTTTGTCTAGTCTTGCATCCCCTTTAACCCTTCTTTTAGGTTTGGTTTTGAATTTATGAATTTCATGAGCTGTAGTTTATCCACAAAATAGTGCACCGTTCCTTCGAGTTTGAGTGAGAGTTTAGCCAGAGAAAGTATTCTTGGTGAAGTGTTCATTTAAGTGAGTTTTTTCACTATATCCCACCATTGCCTTTGGGCTTGGAGGGTTTTCTCTGATAAGTCTGCTGTGAATCGAAGAGGTGCTCCTTTGTATGTGATTTCCTTCTTTGACCTTGCTGCTTGCAGTATTGTGTCTCTAGCCACAGCATCCATCATTTTAACTACGATATGTCTCAGAGTGTTTTTGTTAGGGTCTCTTTTAGCTGGCACCCTTGGGGCTCCTTGAATCTGGATGCCTGCATTGTCCAGCTCTGGGAACTTCTCAGCAATCATTTGTTTAACTGTGGCTTTTTCATTGGGACTGTTTCCCTGACCTTCTGATACTCCAATGATTCTAATGTTGTTCCTCTTGGATCATTCCCTAGGACTTTGTTTCGCTCTAGAGCTATTCTCAGGTCTCTTGCTATTGTTTGTTGTTGCCTGTAGGCTCGTGCAGCTCATCTTCCAGCTCACTGATTCTGTCTTCAGCTGTAGCCATTCTACTGTTGAGGGCACAGACTGAGTTTTTTATTTCATCTACCAAATCTTTTATTTTTTTATTTTTTTAATATTAGAAGAGAGCTTACATATATTGTTATAGCTACTTGAAGGATATTTGGTACATTTTTTATTTTTTCCCCATATATTTATTTATTGGATCACTGTGGGAAAGTTACAAAGCTTTCAGGTTTAAGTCTTGGTCATACAATGATAAGACACCTTTCCCTTCACCAGTACTTAGTTTTCACCACCAAGAACCCCAATATACCCCCCTCCCACCCCTTCCAATGCCTGTGAGGCAGATGATTTCTATTTAACTCTCTCTCTACTTTGATTACATTCATTATTTTGACAAAAGATACACCATTATTGTTTAGAATTTCCCCCCAACAATCAGAATTGCTGAAAAGGCCTTGTGAAATAATTTGATTTCTATAGCTGGTTATGAGAACCATATGATGTTGCATGGCCATAAGAGCAGCCACATAATTTTGGATTTCTTATATTTTACTAATTAAATCTGGAGGGATTTCTGTAAAGAGCCAGATAATTACAAGATTGGTTTCTGTGTGTCTGGTGTTATGGCCATCCATGCCGGAGAGCCGCTCGTCAGGGGCAACTCATGACCTCAGTAGGGCGTGAAGGATGAACCAGTACCGCTCCTCTTCCCATAAGACTGCAATTGCCCCATCACTGCCTGCTCATACCTGGGTTTCAAATAAGCTCTGAGGCGGCGGCCACCTTGCTGCCGGGGAAGGGGGGAGGCGGGAGGGGGGAGAGGTGGAAGGGAGCAACACCCTTTCCCTCTCAGGGAGGCATGGCGCCGTAGGTTGACACATGGTCCATTCACTTTTCTGCCACAAGCTGCCGGGCTCTGGATTAAGTCCTTTTGCCTCTGGAGCCATGGCCCTGCCCTACCGAATCTTTCATTTGTGACATTTCTGTGCGTAGCTTTCCAATTTCTGCTCTCATTTCTTCCTGTATTTTCTCGATGGTTTCTTTCATGTCCTCCTTTAATTTACTGGATATCTGTCTCACTGTTTCATTGAGTTCATTGAACATCTTCATTACTTCATATCTGAATTCTTTCTCAGAGAGCTCCCTTAAATGAGTAACACCTAATGGGGATTCTGGACTCTTTTCATCGTCCTCTTCTCGTGGTGGGGATTTGCGTTGTTTCTTCATGTTGGTGTGGTGGTATGGAGACTGAGATGTTACAGAAGATTGCTGGCTATGAGTAATTTATCTGCGGCCAAGAATTAGGCCATGCCCACTTCTGAAGAGGCCATGCCCCTATGGGTACCTGGTGTATGTGGGAGGTACAACCTGGGAGGGCAAGAAGACCAGACAAGGTATGGAGGACAAACTTTAAGAGACTCAGGGATGGTGAGCAACCCAGGGTCTCAGAGGATGCCTGGAACACATGCACGGGGAAAAGCAGCCCATAAACATTTTTTATGCAAGAATTTATTGCCTTATTTTATATTGACATCCTGATTTCTTAATACTGTTTAGATTATCAACATAAAGTGTTTATTTCTTTTTAATAAGGGACTCTTTGGAAGTGGACATTCCTCAGCAAGCTAATGTGATCTTCAAAAGAGCAGAAGAGGTTAGTTTTTTGCATTGGTTTACAATGTGTGCTTATTTAAAGAAAATTTAATACACACTGTCTAAAGTAATGTATGCTTATTATACTCAGTGAATTGTAACTATTCAAAAATAATTTTGGTTACTGTTTTATGTTGGTTCTTTTTTTTGCTGTTCATGTGTGTATGTGTAAACATACATTCATGCTTCTTTAAAAAATTAGCATCAAACATGGAGTGTAAAGTGGAAATCTTCTGCTGCATAGGCAGGGGAAAGGGTGGGATGAAGTGTATACTGGGGTTCTTGGTGGTGGAAAATGTGCACTGGTGAAGGGATGGGTCTTTGATCATTGTATGACTGAGACTTAAACTGGAAAGCTTTGTAACTGTTCTCATGGTGATTCAATAAATAAATGTTTTTTAAAAATTAGGATCATATTGTGTAGCTTTAGTTTTACCTAAAATTATATTTAGTTACTTGTTGTTATGCTATGATGCCTATGTTTGAACATCACTGATTCTTTTTTCTTTACTTTTTCTTAAATCAATAAACATTTTGTTTAGTTCCTGCCACACACATTCTATTAACTGCAACGAACTTGGAATGAAATAGAGGATTTCAAGAATGGGATTGGAAACACAAAATTTCTTTCCAATGAAGTTCAGATTTTAGTGTCTGTTATGCATAATAGACACTAGAAATTACAGGAAAAATGAAGAAAAACAAAATTTTGTGAAAGTGAAACAATTTAAGTAAAGAAAAATATTAAGTGTACATAGGAAATGATTAACAAGAAAAAGTTAGAATTATCTCGATATCATAGGTTTTAAAATAGTAACTTAGGCATAATACATAAAAGTAAACACCACCCAGACCCACCAATATATTAATAATATACTAATTACTAACATTAGTAACTGTTAAGTATTAATATATAACTATACTAATAATATAATATGTATTATATATTATATATATTTTATATATATATTGAAATGGGCTGGAGCAATTATGGGCTGGAGCGATAGCACAGCGGGTAGGACATTTGCCTCGCATGTGGCCGATCCGGGTTTGATTCCTCCATCCCTTTCCGAGAGCCCAGCAAGCTACCAAGAGTATTCCACCCACGCGACAGAGCCTGGCAAGCTCTCTGTGGCATATTCGATATGCCAAAAATAGTAACAAGTCTCACAATGGTGACATTACTGGTGCCCGCCCGAGCAAATCAGTGAACAATGGGAAGACAGTGCTACCGCAAATAATTAAGTGAAAATAGTTTTCTCTGGGAAAAAATGGGGTGAATATATAGATAATGACTATTTTAAACTCAAATGACCTCTTTAAATAGAGATCATAGTTTACAGTATGATTTTTGTACCAGCCAGAGTCAGTTCACTGATTCCTTTTTCTAGCAAAATTTCTGATAGGATATTTGCTAAAGTAAATTTGTGTGTTTGGGGGGTGGAGAGGGGGTAGTTAACTCCTAATTGGTGCTCAGAAGACCTTAGGATTCCTTCTATGTTTTTCTTGGCTAATCAGTTCAATGCAGGAGGCCCATGATGCAGAGCTACTCAGTTCCTGCAGTGTTGGGGATTCCATGGAGTTCCCCACATGCAAGACATCTATCTTAACCCCTGTGCTCTTAAAATTCCTGATGATGGGAATTTTAATGGTTCTTATGTATTTTCATAACTCCCTCCAGATAGGCTATACTTTTCCTGAAGTATTTAGCTTCCTTGGTTTTCATTTATCTTTGCTAATACTGAATTTTATTATCTTTAAATCTGTTTTGTGGAGAAAAAGTCCCATTTTAATTTGCATGTCTGATAACTTTCAAATTTTAAATTGCATGGATTATAAAACTTACAAATTTTTAGAGCTTTATTGATCATTTTCATTCCCTAGGTAAATTTCTAGTAATTGCCCCTTTTCCTAATCATTAAAATCTTTTAAATTCTAATTCTAAAGATTTAAATCACTTAATCACTTAATCCCCGTTATTCATCGATTTATTCGAGCGGGTGCCAGTAACGTCTCCATTCATCCCGGTTGCGTGCTAGCGTACCCCAATGGTATCTGTTCATTTTAGGAACATGTATAGCCTCAAACTGATCATTTAGGGTCTTGACGAAGAAGTCTGACCATCTTATAGGTGGGCGTCCACGTGATCTTTTGATGTCTCGTGGAATCCAATCAGTAATGGCTCTAGTCCAGCGGTTGTCTGTAAACCTCATTACGTGTCCAGCCCATCTGATTTTTGATGTCTTGGCAAATGAGACAGTGTCCCTGATTCTTGAGCGTTGACGAAGATCAGAATTCCGGATTCTATCTCTCATTTGAGTGAATCGTGATATTCCAAGCATAGTTCTTTCGATTCTTCTTTGAGAGACCCGAATAGCGTTCTCATCCTGTTTTCGTAGGGTCCAGGTCTCTGAGGCATATGTTAATGCAGGAAGAATAGTGGAATCAAAGAGATGTGCTCGTAGCTGGAGGTTCTTTGTCCTTTTAGTTATTTCTTCAATGCTCTTGAAGGCATTCCAAGCCGCTCTCTTCCTCCTGCGCAACTCAGGTGCCAGGTCATTCATCATGTTGATTTCTCGACCTAGGTATATATAACTGTTGCATTCGGAGATGGTGGTTCCGTTGAGAGCGAATGGAGCGTCAGGAACAAGGCTGTTTCTCATAAACATTGTCTTCGTAAGATTCAGCTGTAGTCCAACCTTTCCACACTCACGGTCGAAGTCGGTCAGCATTTGTGCCACTTGGTTGATGTTTGGTGTTATTAGAACGATATCATCAGCAAAGCGGAGGTGGTGTAGTTGCCGACCATCTATCTTCACTCCCATGTTTTCCCATTCCAGTCATCGCATGATGTTCTCGAGGGTGGCACTGAAGAGTTTTGGTGAAATGGTATCACCCTGCCGAACCCCTCTCTTGATATGGATGATTACTTCTTTGTAGAATGGTGAGATTTTGGTAGTGAATCCGCAATAGAGCTCACGAAGGATCCTGATGTATTGAGTTTGTACGCCCTGATTGGCTAGGGCTTCCATGACTGCTTCCGTCTCAACAGAATCAAAGGCCTTCTTTAAATCAATGAACGTTAGACAGAGCGGCATCTTGAACTCCCGAGATACCTCAATGAGCTTGGTTATTGTGTGGATATGGTCGATGGTACTGAATTCTTTTCGGAATCCAGCTTGTTCACATGGTTGTCCTTCATCTAGTGTTCTGCTAATCCTATTCAGGATGACTCGAGTGAATAGTTTGTAGATGACAGACAATAGGCAGATTGGGCGATAGTTGCCAATGTCGTGGATGTCTCCTTTCTTGTATAGTAGTACAGTCCTGCTGGTTTTCCATTGGGATGGAACCTTGTATTCAGACAGGTAGCGTGTGAAGAGTCGAGCCAATGTATTGATGAGTACTGATGGTAAGTTCTTCAGGTGTTCAGGTCTGATCTTGTCTGGGCCAGGTGCTCTTTGTTTCTTTACCGACGAGATGGCATGCTGGATTTCGGAAGGGAGAACATTGGGAACGACATATCCATCATGTGGTATGTGGTATGTGGGCAAGTGGATGTGGCTATTAAAGAGATCTGAGTAGAAGTCATGAATAATCTTCTCCATTGCCCTTCTGGAAGATGTGATAGATCCATCATGATGTCGGAGGGCAGTCATCTTGGTTTTGTAGTTGGTGAAGGACAGGCGGGCATTACAAATGTTTTTCCCAGCTTCTGCTGCATCTACCAGTACTGCTGCTCTCCTGTTTTTGAGGTCATCCTTGATGGCTTCTCTGTACTGTTTTGCCAGTTCGGACGTTCGCTTGTGGTTGCCTGAGGCACCTGCCAAGCCACGTTGGCGAATAAGTTCAAGAGTGTTCAAAGAAAGATGGTTTTTTGTGGTTATCTCTCTCTTGGCATTCCTTGCACAATCATGGAGGTGCTGAATCATTCGATCGTATTCCTCATCAATGTTGTCAATGACAGCATCTTCTCATGTTGCCGCAATAGAGCCAAAGAGCTCCCAGTTGGTGGTTGTTCTGGGAGTCCTCTTCTTAAACCTTGCATTCTTTTCTCCTCGTTCTGTGAGGTAGAATTTTGCACGAAGAAGACGGTGGTCTGATCCCGTTTGGAATTTTGGGACAACAGCAACATCGGTTAGGCAAAACCGTCGATTGAATATGATGTGGTCTATTTCATTGTGGAACCATCCATCGGGAGACTCCCATGTCCAATGTTTAGATTCAGCCTTTTGGAATTGTGAGTTACCATGGAAGGTTTTGGTTGACATGATGAACTCAGACAGTCTGTCACCCTGTTCGTTCCATTTCAGGCCATGGGTTCCGATGTGGAGTTCATCGACTGATCTTCTTGGTCCTATCTTGGCATTAAAATCACCGACAATGATCTTGTAGAAGGTGTGATCTTCTTTATAGAACTTCTCCAGCTCCATGTAGAATTTCTCAGTTTCTCTTTCACCATAACTGGATGTTGGTGCATAGACAACAAAGATAGAAACTGCCGGTAGTGAGCGACATTTATTCAAGTGTAATCGTCCGATTCGGGTTGTTAGGCATTCGAATGAATCAATGCTCGTGACTAAGTTTGTGTTGACAAGGATACCGACACCACCGACGCCTCTTTTATCACATGTTCCAAGGAACAGTTCTTCTCCAGTGTCGAAAACAGCATGATGGGATTGATGTCTTCTCGTTTCGGTCAGACCAATGATGTCATACTTGATCTTTCGTGCTTGTACCATAAGGTCTTCAATGGATGCAGCAGATGCCAGCGTACGAGCATTAAAAAAAAATATTTAAATAAAATTTAAATACTTTATAAATATGCTGAAAAACTTATCTTATATGTGTATGTACTTACAAATAGTTTAAGCTTTAGTTGCTACCATAGTCTTTGGCCAGAATACTGGGATAAGAATCAGAAGACTTGAATTCTCTTCCTTCCAAATCGTAAGACCATATAAATTAATTTCTTCAGTTCCAGTTTTGTCATTTGTGAAGTAGTCAATAAAACTTTGCCTTCTAACTTAGGAAAAATTTTATAAAACAAAATAGGAAAATACCCTAAAAACGGGCTGGAGCAGTAGCATAGTGGGTAGGGCGTTTGCTTTGCAAGCGGCCTATATGGCCAACCCAAGTTTGATTCTTCTGCCCCTCTCAGAGAGCCTGGCAAGCTAACAAGAGTATCTCGCCTGCACGGCAAAGCCTGGCAAGCTACCCGTGATGTATTCAATATGCCAAACACAGTAACAACAAGTCTCACGATGGAGACATTACTGGGCCCACTCGAGCAAATCAGTGAACAACGGGAGGACAGAGTGTGTGTGTTTAATCTCAGGGTTGGGGTAGTCTCCCCAAACAGTGCTTAGAAGGTCCAGGGCCCCAACAGTGATTCTCAAAACCTTACTGTAGTGCTTGAGGGCCATGAGATCTGCACATGGTGATATTTAGGGGAGCATGTCTTGCTGGGGATTGAACAAGGGTAAGCTACATGCAAGCCTCCATGCATCTCTCTAGCCCTGTTTACCCAGTTTTATGCCTTAGGTGATTGCACTATAATAAATACAATTTCTATAATGTGACATAAAATTGATTCTGCAAAAATGTTTTCTATAAAGACAGACTAGATTTTTCTATGATTTTGGTTTTTTTTAAAAATTTTTATTAGTGAAACACCATGAGGTACAGTTGTAGACTTATAATTTTTTGTGCTTGGGTTTAAGTTATACAATGATCGAGTACCCATTCCTCCACCAGTGCCCATTCTCTACCTCCAGTGCTCCCAGTATCCCTCCCCCCTTCCCCCCATCCCACCCCACCCCTGTGGCAGAGTATTCCCTTTTGTTTTCTCTCCCCTTTTGGGTGCTGTAGTTTGCAAAAGAGCCATTGAGTGACAATCATGTTTGGTCTATAGTCTACTTTCAGCATACATCTCTCATCCTGGGAGGCTCCTCCCAACACCTCTTATTTGGTGCTCTCTTCTATATCTGAGCTGCCTTTTCCCCTAGCATGTGTGACTGGCCTCCAAGCCATGGAGTGACCCTCCTGGTCTATGATTTTCTTTATGAAATTAAGTGCAGAGCTTTTCTCCTTTCTCCTCAAGATGACCTATATGGCCTATATGGCCTATATGGTCAACCCAAGTTTGATTTTCCGCCCCTCTCGGAGAGCCTGGCAAGCTACCAAGAGTATCACGCCCGCACGGCAAAGCCTGGCAAGCTACCCGTGATGTATTCAAAATGGTGATCTTGGGATGCTTAATCATTCTCTTTCCTTGTCTGCTGGAAGAAGATTTGAGGGTTTCTAAAATACTAGTAACTGGTACACAGATAGTATTGTACATTAATATTACTGTTGTATACAAACTATATAATGTGCAATACTATTTATGAACATAGAATTAACTGAGTTATTCAGGTATTTTTTTCACTATGGTAGTAATCGGCAATATAGTTAATAAAGTTTTAGCATAGACTCATACTACCTGGTTCAGTCCTACATTAAAACCCTTGGAAAAGTTCTTGACCTAAATATGTCTTCATACTTTTCATTGCAAAGCAGGGGTGGTATCATACTTTAACAAGCTGTTGTGTCAGTATAGTGAAAAAAACAAACAGAAAATCTCACATAGCACAGGGATCACTACACTATAAATGCTTGATAATTTTTTTTAAATTTCAAACTTTTCCTAATTTATTGTTGGTGTACAGTTTTACAGACTTTAAGGACTTTCATTTCACATCTTTATATATGTACAATTCTCATCATTTCCACCACAATCCCATCACCAAAAGACTCTTCTACTGATTTCTCCCACCACCCCTCCCCTTTCCCTCTCAATATCTGCCATAGTTTTCACTGATTCTACAGGTAAGTTTTATTTTTCGCCAGTTTGTTTGCATTAGTTATTTGTGTTACACATATGAACTAAGCCATCTGTTAATTCTTTCACTTTTTAATTTTATTTAGTGTAATTAACTTAAGATCTTTTTTGTCTCAAAAGGCACACTGTCATCTATTTAAATGGTAGACCAGTGTTAGACAGAGCATATATACCACAGCTTCTTTGTCCAGTCATCTGTTGATATTTAGGTTGATTCCATATTTTGGCTATTGTGAATATTATGGCAATGAACACAGAGTTATAATATCTTGCTCGTATTTTTATATCTCTTGGTTGAAAGACTTAGGAGTATTACTTAATCATACAGATTTTTTCTTCTTTTTAAATGAATCTCCATGCAGTTTTCTGTACGGGCTGCATCAGCAGTTGTAATTCAACTTGTTTCCTGTGTCAGGCTGGGGTGAAAACCACTCCTGGTCTATTGGTATTGTCTGGAGCATGCAGCTACTGTGCCTCTTGTCTTCCTGGTGTTTTTCACTGAAGCTTATTGTTTATAGCTCCTGGGGGATGCATCCCAGGGTTCCTGTCAACCCAGACAGGTGTTGGCATGGAGGCAGGACTGTGTGAAGGCTCTGAGGCTGCACCAATTTACATTCCAATCAGCACCAGAGTTCCTTTGTTTTGGGGCCACATTCCACAATACTCAGGATCTATACTCCACTCTGTGCTTGGGATCACTTCTGACAGTGCTTTTGGGACCATGTGGCACTGGGGATTGAACATGGACCTGTGTAATGGAAAGCATGTATTCCAGTCTTTTGAATTATTTCTCTGGCCCCAGAATGTCATTTTCTCCACATCCTTGCCAACATTTGCTTCCAGTCTTTTGGACAGAGGCTGTTCTCACTGGTGGCTATCTCTAGTCCCTGAATAGAGTCTATTTCCTTGTGGTTTTGATTTGCATTTCCTTGTGGTATGTGTTCCATAAATATTAACTAATACTCTTTTACTCTTTGAATAAGTAATGCACATGCATGCCCATGCATTGTTACAAACAAGTCCTAGTCTTAGTAGCAGTAAAAAAAACCAAGCCTTTATCCTCACAGGGCTAATATACTAGTGGCAGGAGAAAGATGAAAAACAAGAATAGCTAGGATGCCAGATAATGCTACTGGCAGTATAAAAAGAAATCAAATTGATTTGAGAGGAAAATTACAAAAAAACCTCATTTGTAAGTGGCAATAAAGCATATATGATCCATTTGGGGTGTGAGGAAGGAATGTTCTTGGAGGAGAGAACTCCTATGCAGAAATTCTAAGAAGAGGAGCAGGAATTTTGAAGGGTAGGGTGTTATGATGAGGAATAGTATCAATAATTATAATCTTCCTTCCTTTTTGAGTTTTTAAAAGACCTCTATATTCCTTTGACATTTTTAGCCCAAACTTAGACATATTAAAAAGTAAAAGATAATAGTGACTACCTCCTACTTGGGCCGGAGCAATAGCACAGCGGGTTGGGCGTGGCGTTTGCCTTGCAAGCGGCCATTGGCCGACCGAGTTCAATTCCTCCGCCCTCTCGGAGAGCCCGGCAAGCTACCGAGAGTATCTCGCCCACACGGCAGAGCCTGGCAAGCTACCTGTGATGTATTCGATATGCCAAACACAGTAACAACAAAGTCTCCTATGGAGACGTTAGGGGGCCCACTTGAGCAAATCGATGAACAACGGGAGGACAGTGACAGTGACAGTGACAGTGACCTACTTAGATTTAACATTTTGTCCTTGCGTCATCTGTATTTTTTTCTGAAACATTTTAAAGAATGTTTAAAAAAACCCCAATATTTATCTTGATTCTCTAAAATTATTATTCTCTAGTTTAAATAACCATAATATTTATGATAACATTTGGCAAAGCTAACAACTTCTTTTATATCATTTACACATCATCTTTCATATCATCTCTGTCATTGCCTAATCTTTTAGCCAGTCCATCTCACACATTTTTTAAAACTACTTTCTGTAGATAGTTTAAAAAACTTATCTGGAAACCAAATTCAACTCTAGGATTATGAATTACATTTAGTAGGTTTCCTAGATCAGTACAATGTATTTATAACAGAAGTAAATAAGGAAATTTTAATATTCTCTTTGATGCTATTATTTTTCATAGTACATAACACATACTGTCCTCTAAACTTGATTTTTTAAATTGCTGAAATGGTGGTTTGCAAGACTGTATTTTGGGGATAAATTTCACGCCACTTTATTTTAACACAACACACCTATAGCCAAAGTACTCATACCCATCCACCACAGTCCTCAGTGTTATGTTCTGCCCTCTGTGATCTTCCACTCTGATCTCAGTTGGCTTTGGATACTTTTAATGGTAACTGTTAAAAATTTTTTTAAGTTAAAAAATTTTTAATTAGGGGCCAGGAAGATAGTAAGCAGATTAGGTGCTTGCCTTTTATGCAGACCGACCTGGGTTCAATTCCTGACATCCTGTATGGTTTCTGATCATGGCCAGGAGTGATTCCTGAGTGCAGAGTGAGGAGTAACCCCTCAGCATTGCCAGCTGTGACCCCCACCCAAATAAACTAAAAATGTTTTTTAATTAGAATATTGAAGTATAGATGCCAAATTTTATTTTAGTGTCAAATAAGTAAAATTATTAAAATGATTTTTTATATTTAGCGATTTTCTTTTTTAATTCCAGGGAGTACCTGTAGAATTTTTGGTATTACCTGATATTGATTCAGTAATATCACATGTGGAAAATAATATGCATTTTGAAGAAATAAAAGAAGAAGATGATGATGACATGGAAGATTCAGATATGGGTAATATATATTCTGTTATGCTCATCCTCCCCATTCCTGTTTAGCACCCATAAAGTCAGTTGAATTTTAGTGAATTCAATAATTCTCCTTCAAGATTCTGAAGAAACATGAAGAAATTTATTTCAGTTCACATTTTATCAAGTTAATTAGGTGAAAAGATGTAAGGATGACATATTTGTTTAGCATAATGTTTCTCAGGTTTTATTGTTTGTGTTTATTTTTATTTGGAGACCACACTTAGCTGTGCTCAGGGCTTGCTCCTGCCTCTGTGCTCAGGGATCACACTGATGGGTTCAGGGGACAAATTTTAGTATACGTGCTGCCGAAGCAAGAATGGCTTGGGACTATATAGAGTGCTGGAGATCAAATCCAGGTTGGCAGTGTGTAAGGCAAGTGCCCTGCTAGTTGAACTATCGCTCTGGCCAATATAACTTTCATTTTACATGTCAGGCTAGATTTCCCAATATGTGCTTTGTTACTCCAAATAAGTTCTTTTAGCCCTGTGGTTCTACTTCATGTTGAAAATGATCCCAATGCTATGGCATGTGTTTTTATTATTTCTATGACCTAATGAAATTCTGATAAAAATAATTGCATTTGTAGTGTTTTTGTTGTTGTTGTTATTGTTTGGGGACCACACCCAGTGAAACTCAGGGGTTGCTCCTATCTCTATACTCAATACTTGGAGGATCATATGGCATGCTGGGGATCAAACCCTGTCAGCCGCATGCAAGGAAAGCACCCTAACCACTGTACTATCTCTCTGGCCCCTGCATTTGTAGTTTTAAGTAATTACTGTTAATAATGCAGAGGGAAAATTTCAATAACACTTTTGATATTTTTAAAGTTATTTATATTTCTGTTGCCTTACTGCTTACATTTTTATACATTCTATTGTTTTCATGATTTTTTCCCCCACATTAATCACTTTGATAACCTTCTGCTGAGTTAGATATTGTTATTTTAATTGAATAGATGAAGGATACATTCTTTTTTTTTTTTTTTAGGATACTTATTTTTAGCAGAGTTAAATTATCTCCCCAGGATCACAAAGTGGCCTGTGGTAGTGCCTGGACCTAGATCTGACTAAATTCTGACTAGATCTCATTTATGATAATTATGCCCTATCATAATTATTCTTGATATGTATTCATAATAATAATCATCCTCTAGTTTTCATTTCCTTTTTGCTCTTCTCTGCCAATCTATAGTTTTAAAGTAGGGTTTATATCATTTATTTTTATGTCACATTTAGTAAACACCTGAATGTTTTGTTTATTACTGTTACAATCTGTGCCAAGATGAAGTAGTATACATATTTTTTACATAAGATTTATTTTTTATTATAATAAAAATTCAAAATTCATATTGTAAATCTAATAAGGGCTCTGAATTTTAACTGTCACCAGTGACATGTTTTTTTCATTTTGGTTATGTTCTAGTACTTTTCTGATATGTAAAGGTTAGAATTGTTTCCTGATGAACCAGAGTTCTCCACCATGTTGTTATTGTACTAGCAGACTTATATTCTGGTCTCTGGTTTACTGTTTTATTTCTGTGATCACGGTCACGATCACGGTCCTCCCATTGTTCATCGATTTGCTCGAGCGGGCCCAGTAATGTCTCCATCATGAGACTTGTTGTTACTGTGTTTGGCATATCGAATACACCACGGGGAGCTTGCCAGGCTCTGCGGTGCGGTCGAAATGCTCTCAATAGCTTGCTGGGCTCTCTGAGAGGGGCAGAGGAATCGAACTCGGGTCGGCCATATTGGCTGCGTGCAAGGCAAACACCCAACGCATTTCTGTGATAGTCCAGATATTCCAGCCTTTAGAGTCTAAGGAGTCCTAGATGAATATGATATTTGATCAAAGTAAATGATGCCTTTTTCCATTTTCTTTACCATACCCCTTTGTTGCTTTGACTCTGGACTCAATTTGCCCTCTTATTTTTTTCTGATTCTACTTCCCTTTTGTTTTCCCTAGTCTAGTTTTATTATTTCTTTTACAGCCTGACATTTGTTTAATTTCACTCTTTATTAAGAGTAACCCCCAACCCTTTCATTCTTCTGTAGTTGCTGTTGCAACAAATGGTAGTAGCACTAATTTATTTGTGGTGCTCTCATCTGTGGTGCTCTCACACCAGGGTCAGATTCTTGGTTGTGGTGCTTGCACACTTAGTTTCAATGCTCTCCCAGGGGTCCAACATTCAGCTCTGGTGATCACACACATGCTCAAATTTGCACACATGCATGCACCTTGCTGTAGTGGCCCAGAGCTAGCATACCTTGTGTGGTGCTGGGGTTCCAGATGTCAGTGTCCCTGAAGTTGCCCTCAACCCACATGGACATTTCTAAGGATTAAACTTTTAGCCATGCACTTGTAGCGTAGACACACTCTGTTCCAAAGTCATGCCAAGTCCACCCTTTTCGTTGTTGTTATTGTTATTTTATTTTTAAAATGTCCTATGCCTGTAAGCTGTGTTGGTCATAATATTGTACAGGAACATTTATGTCATACCTCTTCCATGTTTTATGCCATGCACAAGGAAGAAAAGAAGAAAGTAATAAAAGAGTTTGTTACCATGTAAGAATGGAACTCAAAGGAAATATCCTTCAATGGAAGTGGGTATAGCATAAAGTAAAAATGAAATGAGTTCTCAAAAAAAGGACAATATAAATGGAATTAAAAAGTGAATGATGAGAAAGAATATATGCACATTGTTGAATAAGTGAAGCAAAGAGGAGAGAACTGAAGAAATTTATAAATTTAGTTTATTCAGAGAAAGAGCATTGAGAATAGACAAAGGAACGATTGGCACAGGGCATGATAAAAAGGATAGAATGGAAAATAATGATTGGGTAGAAAATGAAAATATGTGAAAAAGTGTGTAATTTCTGGGCAGCTAGGGAAAGCCCTCCTCGACTCTCTTGCTGCCTGCGTTCAATGAACTTGAGCCACTTCCCCACCTGGGACGGCCAATGCCATGGGTGGATGAAGGAGAAAATGAGGCCACCAGGCTGGTTGGTGATCAGTTCCATTTATTTTTTATTTTTATTTTTTTTAGTTCCATTTATTATTCCATTCTCCCCACGTGCCTGTTTCCGTTTCACTAAGCTCCCCATTCTGATCTCACACTGCTCCTTATTCCTGTCTCCTCTTGTCTCTCCTGCTCATCTCTCCATGCTCCATCTTGCTGCCCTGGTCTCTCTCTAGTCTTGCTCCAACTTCCTGCATTAGGGTAGATACCACACCCCATCCAGTAGTACAGTCAACATATCAAAAGCCCTTCCTGATCACTGATCAGGCTCAAGGGAGGGAAATGCCACCTAGGGATGTTTCTCCTTCCTCCAATAACTTAATTAACATCTTAATTAACATCTTAATTCTACTTCTTAATATTAGTTATTTTGTGTGAGCACAGTAAGAGAGACATTGAGCTTGTTGGGTGGCTCTCCTGGGGACATCTTGCTATAGATCTCAGACTACAGTGCTTAGGCTGGATTAATCTTTCCTAACCCTAGCAGGGTCCTAATCTCGATGTTACTTTTGGATCATGACAGAATTTGTCCATGACCATGCTTTTAACATATAGTTAAGTATTATGGTGATTTGGCCAGGCCCATTTTGATGCCAGGGTAGTTCACTGCTTGCCCTGGGTCCATCCAGTCCCTCATTGGGACCCTGCTTTTGGGATGCTAGGAAGTAAGGGCAACTGAAGCTTAAGTTGAGAAAACAGATGCCCAGGAGTGAATATCATTTGGAGTCAATTAATTTCCAAGTTACAAAAGCATAGCATTAGCTGTCTTTCTGTGTCTATACAGAAAGGACATTGGTCTGAAATAACTATGCAAAGGACTTAAGGAGAAGATAAAAGCAATATTTACAAGTTAACAGAGTCTGATTAAGAGATAAAGGTGATTCACTGGTTGGGGAAGCAGAGCACAAAGAAAGAAGTTACAAGTAAACACAGAGGAATGGGAGCACTATGATGGGAGTAACCTAATAAACCCAAGCTTCCTGTGGCAAGGCAGAAAGGACAAACCAATGTTATCCTACAAAAAGGAGAAAATACAGTAAATAATAAAGTAGGTCTGTATTCTACTATAGAGGGCATAACTTTCATTGTTGTGGAATATAGTATTAGAAAAATTGCATTTAAAATAGTGTAACTCTTTCACCATATCTATTCAATATAGTACTGAATGTACTTGCCATAGCAATTAGGTAAGAAAAAGATATCAAGGGAATCCATAAGGAAAGGAAGTCAAGCTCTCACTATTTGAGGATTAAATGATACTATATTTAGAAAATTCTAAAGCCTCTACAAAAAGACTTTGAGAAATAGATTTATGTAATAAAGTACAGGCTACAAAATTAGTATGTAAAAATCCATGGCTTTCCTATATGTAGATAATGAATGAGAAGAGAGATTAAAAGTAAAACCCCATTCATAATTGTGCCTCAAGAATATCATGTACCTCAGAATCAGCTTAAATAAAGAGGTAACAGACCTATACAAGGAAGACTACAAAACACCACTTCAAGAAGTAAAAGAGGAAATGGAAATACATCCCCTGATCATGGATTGGAAGGGTTAATATCATTAAAATAGCAACACATCGCAAGCACTGTACAGATTAAATGCAGTCACTTTAAGAATACTCATGGCATTTTTCAAAGAGATCAAAAACTACTGAAATTCATATGAAACAACAAAATACCCCAAATAGCTAAAACAATCCTTTGGAAAAAGAATATGGGAAACATCACTTTCCCCAACTTCAAACTGTTTTACAATGTGGTGATAATTAAAACAGCATGGTACAGGAAATAAAAACAGAACCTCAGATCAATGGAGTTAAGTTGAATATCCTGACATAGAGCCTCAGATATTATGACCAGTTAATCTTCTATGAAGGAACAAAAAATATGAAATGGAGCATGGAAAGCCTATTCAACAAGTGGCATTGGGAAAACTGGTCAGCTACATGAGAAAAAATGACTTCGGACCTCTTTGTAATGCCAGGCACAAAAGTTAAATCAGGATGGATTAAAGACCTTGATATCAGATCTAAATTCATAAGGTATGTAGAGTAAAACATAGGCAGAACTCTCCATGACATTGAAGCTAAGGGCATGAAACATTGCTGACCCAGTGGAAGAAAAGACAAATAGGAGTACATTAAATTGAGCTTCTGCACCTCAAAGTAAATAATGACCAGCATACAAAGGCAATCTATGGAATGAGATAAATTATTTGCTCATCAGTCATCTAATAAGGGATTAATATCAGTAATACAAGGCACTCGCAAATTTTACAATAAAAACACCATACAACCCCATCAAAAACCAGGGAGATGAGATGAACAGAAATTTTTTTAAAGAAGAAATATAAATGACCAAAAGGCACCTGAAAAAAATTCTCAACATCACTTTTATTTGGGGGATGCAAATCAAAACAACAATGAGATGTCATCTCACACCACAGAGACTGGTACACATCAAAAAAGAGCAACCAGAGCCTCCATGGATTTGGGGAACAAGAGACTCTCATCACTGCTGGTGAGAATCTTGACTGGTTCAACCTTTCTGAAAGGTAATATGATCATTCTTAATAAATCTATGACCAAGCAACCCTACTTCTTGGAATATACTCCTAGGGCCCAAAGAGAATGCAGAAAAGACATTTGCAACCCATGTTCATTGAAGCACTATCAACAATAGCAAAAATATGAAAGCAGCCCAAGTGTCCAAGAATAGGAGGCTGGATAAATAAATTTTGGTACATATACACAATGGAATATTACTTGGCCGTAAGAGAAGATAAAGTCATGAAATTTGCTGCTACATGGAGAGAACTGGAGAATATCATGCTGAATGAGTTAGTCTGAGGGAGAAAGACTGACCTAGAACTATCTAATATGTGAGATATAAAGAAACATGATGGTGGAATGATTAAAAACTCAGACAGTGGCAACAAAGAACATTAGAACTAGTCTTAAGTAGGAAACATGCCACTTGAGGGGGCTGAGGAAAGGACAGGGAACATCTATGGTGGAGGGAAGCACTTAAGCAGGAGGAGTTGGCAGGTGGTAAAGTGTTATGTATGAAACCCAATCAGCAACATTACTGTAAACCACAGTGTATAAACTTATTTAAAAAATGCCTCTTGTAGAAGCAGACTGGTGAGTGGGGGGCAAATAAGGGTGGGGGAAAATTGGTTGAGGGAAGTGGACACTGGTGAAGGAATATGTGTTGAAGCATTGTATGCCTGAAACCAAACGATGAATAACTTTATGATTTCACATGACAGAATAAAAATAAGTAAATCAGGGTAATTTATGCTTCCTGGGAACACTGAGACTCAGATGATTTTGATTGACTACTCACAGAGGATTGCTGAAATGGTAACAAAATAGAGAACTAGTATTTTTACTTTATAGTACTGGAAATCATATGGAAAATAATACCCTAAACACTTTGTCTAGCTCATATCTTCTTAGTATGCTAATTTTTATAATCGCATATGTATTTCAAAATTATGGAATCCTCTTTAAAATTATGATTATAGTATTACTAATTGTACAGGATTAGCAATTGTTAATTGCAAATGTTTAGTCAAAGTTCACATTTCCAGTTGCACCAGGCTTTTTTGGCCAATCTACCTTTCTATGTACTGTTCCTCTTGCTCCGTGTGCTTCACTGCCTTCCTTCATAGACACCTGATATTATATTTTTCATTAAATATTTAGCTAATGTAAACTATTCTAAGAAACTTTTTGTTTTGGCACCACATTTGACTGTGCACAGGGCTTACTTCTGCCTTTGCACACAGGGATCAGTCTTGGTAGGGCTTGGAGACCATATAGGATACCAGGGATCAAACCTGGGTCAGCTTCATGCTAAGCAAACATCCTACCTGCTGTACTCTCTCTCCAGAACCCTTCCCCTTCCCCTTCCCCCTTCCCCATCTCCTTCCTTTCCCATCTCTTCCCTCACTTTTACTAGGCTGACTGTGAAATTCAAACATAACAACAATGGCTGTATTCATCATGGTAGTCACAACCCTGTGCGGCTGTACTTTTAAAATTCAGTTTTAAAATTCAGATTCCAGAAGTTTCATAGTATGTTTAAAGCAAAATGCACTATGTGCAATTGTTGCTTATTCAGTTTTACCCATCTTGGATTTCTTTATTTTAGACGGACATATTTGCCATGATTGTATTTTTTTTAAATTGAATCATTGTGACATACTCAGTTGCAACGCTGTTCGTGATTAGGTTTCAGTCATACAGTGTTCCAACATGTGTCTTTTTACCAGTGTACATTTCCCATCACTAGTATCCCCAGTTTCCTTCCCCCATCTTCTCACCACCCCCCTACAGCCTGCCTCTATGGCAGGGACTTCTCTTTCTCTCTCTCTCTCTCTTTCTCTCTCTCTCTCTTTCTATATCTCTTTCTTTGGTCATTATGATTTGCAATATAGGTACTGAAAGTTTCAGCACTCAGTTGTTGTCTCCAGAACCCTTTTCTAGGAAGCTTTATCTGTCTCTCTTGTTAAGTTAGATGCCCCTTCTGTATTTCTCAATATAAGTATTTTTGTTATAATACCTCATTTATCTTTACATTTCTTAATAAACTGATGAAATATATGTTTATTCATTGACCAATTTACTGTCTTTTTTATAGGTTGAAACTATATGTGGCTAGTAGTTGTTTTGTTCATGACTTTTCCTAGACTTGATTACAATACTTGAATGTGGTTGAATATACATAAATGCTTTCAAAATGTATGGTAGACATATTTTAATTAAAATGAATATTAAAAACAAAACAAAAACCCTATTAATAGACAAGTTTAAGTAATTACTTTTGTAGTTGACTAAAACTTTACAATTATGTATCAGGAAGCATCTCAGAATCATTTTAAGTCATACAATTGGGAAGTTTTTAAAAAACACAACATGAATTTAAAACAATGGGAGTGTGAATTAAAAGTTTTTATTAAGGGGGCACTAGGAAAGTGGCTCAGTTAGTGGTCAAGCTCATGCTTTGTATGTGTGAACCCCTGGGATTTATTCCCTGAAACAAACACAAGTTTTCTCAACTATCAAATTTTTGTTTGCTAGCCTGGGATAAAATCTTAAATATATTCAGTTGACATTTACATTTACATTGATTCCTTTTCAAACATGTTAGATGTTCAAGATGATGAAGTGGAAGAAACTGTTTATAAAGATAGGAAGAACCAGTTACCTTTGGAACTTACGGTGGAGTTAACTGAAGAGACGTTTAACACAACAGTAATGACTTCAGACAGCATAGTGCTTTTTTATGCTGGCTGTGAGTATTAATCTTAAGAAGAAACTGTACTCATATTAGAACACTTGAAGTACATACCCTTTATTTCTGCATTCTGTATATTGCTTGTTTTTAAAGGACATCAATTTCATATGTCCCAAGTAGGATGCATATATTGAAAGATTTACTTATGATTCTGGGGTTGTAAAAATGATTGTATCAGACTTACAAGTTGAATATTAAATGCTGAGCTTAGTAATTTTAAGATATGTTGTGTTCAAGCTAAGGATTTCAACATACTAATAGTTCTTAAATATATGTATAGGAAATGCATCATATCAGCAAGTAATAGCCCTTTACCTATATTCTTACAGTGTAATGGAGAAAATTAGTTGTATTGGAACCCTAGTAAATGTTTGGGAAGTATTAAGTGTTATATACTAGAATATTTCCTACTAAGAAATAAAAAGTTTTGGAATCCTCACAAATACTCATTTTTATTATTCATAATAATAAATGCTCTGGAGAAATGCATGTTGTAACATTTGTTAAATTATTTTATCTTCATGTAGGGCAAGCAGTATCCATGGCATTTCTGAAATCCTATGTTGATGTGGCAATTAAATTGAAAGGTATTGTATTGGAGTATGCATGTTTATTTTCATGATTTTGAACTGTAATTATTTGTAAAATTTGCCATGTTGAAGATATAAAATACCTAATAAAATTTTAGGTTTTATTTTTATATCTTGAAGTTTAAATTTAATGAACCATGAGTTTAAAAATGTTCAGAAATTTTTGGTTTGATTGTCTCCATGGAGCTGTGTTTAGCACAACATAGAGAGCCAGGTATATTAAGTACATGTGACTACAGACTTCATCTAGTAACTACTTTGACTTTGAAATAGTTATTCATCATAATAGACATTAAATAAAAAATTGACGGCTGTGACCTAATTTCACAAACTCATGAAAGATCAAGATCCCAGTGTTCTTGAAATTATAAGCAACCCCCATGGACTAGGGTATTTTTAAATTATTATTATTATTATTTTATGCTTTTTGGGTCACACCCAGCGATGCTTAGGGGTTACTCCTGGCTCTACAGTCAGGAATTACTCCTGGTGGTGCTTGGGGGACCATATGGGATGCTGGGGATTGAACCTGGGTTGGCTGCATGCAAGGCAAATGCCCTACCCACTGTACTATCACTCCAGCCCCGGGTATTTTAATAGTCTGAATTATACTTAAAAAAAAAAAAACCTGTTTTTTGTGATTGGATTCAGATAACCAATCTTGATTTCCTTTTTCCATTAGTATTTTCTTTGTGATTTTTTTTTTTACTAATTAGATAAATGGGTTAAGTTTTTGAAGTTTAGGGGTGCTTAACACAAAAAAACATAGCATAGGGAACTACAGTGTTTTGTGTTGGTGTTGACGTATATGCTATAAGTGAATTTAGAAAATAGTGTAGCACTTAGGGATTTAGTCCTATAATCTTAACATAATGCTTTCTTGGGGAAAGATCACTTTTCATCTCCTAGTATAAGATGATGGGCTGGAGCAATAGCACAGTAGGTAGGGCGTTTGCCTTGCACGTGACCGACCCTCTTAGAGAGCCAGGCAAGCTATCGAGAGTATCCTGCCCGAACGGCAGAGCCTGGCAAGCTTCCCGAGGTGTATTCGATATGCCAAAAACAGTAACAACAAGTCTTACAATGGAGACGTTACTGGTGCCCACTCAAGCAAATCGATGAACAATGGGGAGGACAGTGCTACAGACAGTACTACAGTATAAAATGATGAAGAATATTTTAACTTCAGTCACAAGGTGGCAGCAGTTATCAAGTTTTTACACATACATGGTATCTGGTAATAAAATAATGTTTTTCTCTCTTCCTTTTAAATCTGTACCCTCTTTGAAAATTTTGCTTTAATAAAGAATATGGAGTGAATTACTACAGGTATAGTGTAATACTAGACTATCCCAATTGAAACATGATTAAATATTGAATTTGCTTTATAGGAAATAAAATAAAAATACTAAACAGATAGCTTCAATATAAGTTCAATCTGCATAGCCTTATACATATAATGACTACTATTTTTTTCTATTTTTCCCCCCAGCAAAGCCATTTTTAAATTTATTTATCATTTTTTTAATGACTCACCATGAGATACAGTTACAGATTTACAAACTTTCATGATTATGTTTCAGTCATACAATGATCGAGTACCCATCCCTCCACCAGTTTTTTTTTTTTTCAGATTTAATGTTATGAAAATTTTTAAGTAAACTTGGGTCCGGAGACAAAGTAATACTAACGTTTGTTTGCTTGCTTTGGATCGTTACCTGGTGGTGTGCCACATGCAAAGCAAATGCCCTATCCACTGTATTATTGTCCAGCCCCAAGAACATTAATATTTTTAGCAGCAGGAAACTTGTTGAAGATTCTAGTTGAAGGAAAAGAAGTTAAAGTAGTATTATTCTATTTCAAACTTAGGTGGTAGTATAAAATATATATTCTAATATGGTAGTATAAAATAGATATTCTAATATACTCTAATATGAAGAAGTATCTCTGGATACTTATTGATTAAAAGATTAGTAAAAATGATAAGATAATTTTATAGAGAAGTCACTTAGGAAACTGATTTTAGAAGAAATAGTTATCTTTGTTTATATGCTCATCTGATATTTAGGTATTTATATACTTCAGAATAAAAATTAAAAATGTGTTCATGGAGAATTATCAGGGTACATTTCACACATTTTTTTTTAAATTCTTTTTTTTTTATTAGTGAAACACATGAGGTACAGTCGTAGATTTACAATTTTTTGTGCTTGGATTTCGATTATACAATGATCAGATACCCATCCCTCCACCAGTGCCCATTTCCCACCACATGGATAATATCCCCCCACCCCCATCCCCCCATCCCCCCCTGTATCTGTGGCAGGGCAATCCCCTGTGTTCTCTCTCTCCTTTTGGGTGTTGTGGTCTGCAAAAGAGGCATTGAGTGGCAAACATGTTCAGTCCATAGTCTACTTTCGACATGCATCTCCCCTCCTGGGAGGATCCTCCAAACATCCTTTATTTGGTGCTCCCTTCTCTATCTGAACTGCCCTTTCCTCTAGGATACCCGGCTGGCCTCTAAGTTATGGAGTAATCCTCCTGGTGCTGATCTCAGCTATTCTTGCGTATTAATCTCATACTTTGTTACTTTATATCCCCCAGATGAATGCAATCTTTCTATGTCTATCCCTCTCTTTCTGACTCATTTCGCTCAGCATGATACTTTCCATATTGTACCACTTGTATGTAAATTTCATGACTTCATCTTTTCTAAGAGCTACATAGTACTCCATTGTGTAGATGTACCAAAGTTTCTTTAACCAGTCATCTGTTCTTGGGCATTCAGGTTTCTTCCAGTTTCTGGCTATTGTAAAGAGTGCTGCAATGAACAAACAAGTGCAGATGTCACTTCAATTATACATTTTTGCCTCTCTGGGATATATTCCCAGGAGTGGTATTGCTGGGTCAAATGGGAGCTCAATTTCTAATTTTTTGAGAATCGTCCATACTGCTTTCCAGAAGGGCTGAACCAGTGGACATTCCCACCAACAGTGAAGGAGTGTCCCTTTGCGTATAGGAAAGCCATGGACTTTTGGGTATTGATTTTATAGCCTACAACTTTACTATACAAGTCTATTGTTTCTAGGAGTTTTTTGGTGAGGTTATTGGGTTCTCTAAGTATAGTATCATATCATCTGCGAATAGTGAGAGCTTGATTTCTTCCTTTCCTACCTGAATGCCCTTAATATCTTTTTCTTGCCTAATGGCTATTGCAAGTACTTCCAGTAGTAAATTGAACAGCAGTGGAGATAGTGGGCATCCTTGTCTCGTTCCTGATCTTAGAGGGAAGGCTCTCAGTTTTTCCCCATTAAGGATGATGCTTGCTGTAGGCTTGTGGTAGATGGCTTTAACCATGTTGAGGAGAGTCCCCTCTATACCCATTTTGGCTAGGGTTTTCATCATAAAGGGGTGCTGGATCTTGTCAAATGCTTTCTCTGCATCTATTGATATGATCATATGCTTTTTATCTTTTCTTTTGTTGATATGATGGATTATGTTGATTGATTTCCAAATGTTAAACCATCCTTGCATCCCTGGGATGAATCCTACTTGGTCATGGTGTATGATCTTTTTGATGAGTAGTTGGATTCTATTTGCAAGTAGTTTGTTGAGGATCTTTGCATCTGTGTTCATCAGGGATATCGGCCTGTAATTCTCTTTCTTTGTGGTATCTCTGTCTGTTTTTTGTATCAGTGTGACATTTGCTTCGTAGAAACTGTTCGGAAGTGTTTTTGATATTTCAATTTCGTGGAAAAGTTTAGAAAGGATTGGGAGTAAGTCCTCTTTAAAGATTTGGAAGAATTCACTAGTGAATCCATCTGGGCCAGGGTTTTTGTGCTTGGGGAGACTTTTTATTACCATTTCAATTTCCTTGATGGTGATAGGTCTGTTCAGGTATTCCAGGTCTTCTTGGTTCAGCCTTGGGAGTCTGTAGGAGTCTAGGAATTTATCCATTTCCTCAAGATTTTGATGTTCCGTGGCATAAAGCTTTTCAAAGTACTCCCTGAGGATCCTTTGAATTTCTGTACTTTCTGTTGTAATGACCCCTTTTTTATTTCTGATTCGGTTTATTAGGGTTTTCTCTCTCCCTTTCTTTGTGAATTTTGCTAAAGGCTTATCAATCTTGTTAATTTTCTCGAAGAACCAGCTCTTGGTTTCATTGATCTTTCGGATTGTTTTTTGGGTTTCCATCTTGTTAATCTCTGCTCTGAGTTTTATTATTTCCTTTCTCCTGTTCGGGTTGTGCTCCTTTTTTTGGTCCTTCTCCAAGCTCTTAAGCTGTGAGGTTAGGTTACTTATGTGTGCTCGCTCCTCCTTCCTGAGGAATGCTTGTAGAGCTATAAACTTTCCTCTTAACACAGCTTTTGCTGTGTCCCATAAGTTTTGGTAACTCGTGTTCTCATTTTCATTCGTTTCTAGGAATCTTTTGATTTCCTCTTTGATTTCCTGTCTAAGCCACTCATTGTTCAATTGAGCACTGTTTAATTTCCAGGTGTTTGATTTAGTTTTCTGTTTTTGTGTGTGATTTACTTCTAATTTCATCGCAATATGGTCTGAGAAGATTGTTGATACAATCTCTATCTTCTTAATTTTATGGAGGCATGTTTTGTGGCTCAGCATGTGGTCTATCTTGGAGAATGTTCCATGTACGCTTGAGAAGAATGTGTATTCAGCTTTTTGTGGATGAAGTGTCCTGTATATATCTACTAAGTCCCTTTCTTCAATTGTTTCCCTCAAATGAAGTATGTCCTTGCTAAGCTTGAGTCTGGTTGATCTATCAAGAGGTGACAAAGCAGTGTTGAAGTCTCCCACTAGTATTGGGTTGCTATTGATGTCTTTTTCCAAATCTATGAATAGTTGTTTTAAGTACTTTGCTGGTCTCTCATTAGGTGCATATACATTTATTATTGTAAGTTCTTCCTGTTGTACAGATCCTTTGATCAATAAGAAATGGCCTTCACTGTCTCTTATGACCTTCCTCACTCTGAAATCGA